AAGATATTAATAATTAAGAGCTATTATTATAATATTAAGATATTAATAATTAAGAGATATTTGTCAACTCATAGAGTTGCCACAGTGAGGAAAGGGGGGAAGCGCATTCCATGCATCCTTTCAGCTAGAGTTGGATCTCAGATTACCGCAGCAGGCTTGGGAGGGGGGCACCTCATTGGGGAATGTGATTTATGACACAGACTGAGGGAAGGGAAGGAACAGGGGTAAAGTTCAGCTATAATTCAACTAAGGCTAAGATCTGACTGCAAAAAGATCTTGCCCCTAATAAATGACTAGTTTTTCTTTTGAAATTTTGCTCGAGACTCATGAATCAATTAGGGCATCTTTCGGAAACCTGACAATATTATTATAATATTAAGAGATATTAATAATTAAGAGATATTAATATAACATCTCTCTGCAACAATGTACTCCCAGGAACTGCTGCTCACTGTGACAAAACAGGAGCCACGCATTTCAGACAGTGGTGCTAATAGCCTGGAGACCTTTGAAAGTTGCTCGGCAGAACAGGGGACAAATGCCCCACCAGAAAGAGAGCCAGATAACAGCCAGAGTTCCCTGGAACCCCCCATGGACAGACCTTCCAAGGAAGAAGACAGCGCCACCGGGGAGGTGGGCCAAAGTGAAGGACAAACTCCAGAATCTTTAGTTGATTCAGGGAGGATGAAGCCGTTGAAAGAAGGCTCCAGGGATGACTCTTCTCAGCTGGTGCCCAGGATCAGAAGAGAGGTCGGTATTCATTGATCAAAGGCCTCTTTGGTTTAGAAAACCTAATGATCCGTAACTTCTTACAAACCGCAAATCCCTTTGGTCTTTGTGCAAGGGAGTGAATGTGCAGACATAATGATTGTTTATATTAACAGTTTGTAATATTTCCTGTCTGAGGCCTGCTAAAAACTAAATCAGCCAGGATTTAAGCCCTTTTCTGACTTCTGGGGAAACTTTTGGCTAAAAGACAAAATAAAATTGCTTTAAATAATACATTCCAAAACATCAAAGGCTATACCCGGAGGCTACACTGGGCTACATTGAAAAAAAGTCAAAATGTGGCCAAAACTCTCTTGTGCTATTACAGCTACCATCTTGGCTTTTTTTTTTTACCATACCTTGCAGATACCTCTGAAAACACCCAGATCAGTTTTAAAATTAACATCACCCAAAGTATAACGCAGTGGCTCAGTGACCAAGATGCTGAGCTTGTCAATCAGAAAGGTCAGCAGTTCAGTGGTTCGAATCCCTAGTGCCGTGTTAACAGAGTTAGCTCCCATTATTTGTCCCAGCTTCTGCCAACCTAGCAGTTCAAAAGCATGTAAAAATGCAAATAGGAAAATAGGACTCACCTTTCGGCATTGAGTCATGCCAGCCACATGTCCACGGAGAGACGTCTTGGGACAGCGCTGGTTCTTCAGCTTTGAAACGGAGAT